ATTGAGCAACTCAAGAAGGAGGGCAAGTACATGACCAAGGCTCAAAAGGAGGCAAAGGCGAAGAATGAACTCCGTCTGAAGCAAATGCTCGAGAGCGAAGGGACCAAAGTCGCGGCCCTCGACGAGCCAGAGCAAAAGAAGAAGCCGCTGTACGACGACCGCAAGAAGAGGAAGAAGCAGCTTGAGGAGCAAAAGGCAAAGGAAGCTCGGGAGGCTGAAGAGGCTGCGAAGAAGCTTGAAGAGCTACGGATAGCCGAAGAGCAGGCCGCTGCCGCTGCAGCTGAGAAGGCCAAGGAGGATGCTGAGGCGAAGAAGGATGAGGACTCTGGCGATGATTGGGAGAAGCTTGCGGACGAAGACGACGGCGTCAAGGACAGCTGGGATGTCGACACTGACGAAGAGGAAGAACGTAAAGCTGCAGACAAGAAGGCGAAAGAGGAAAAGGCCCGACAAGAAGAAGCAGCGAAAGGACAGGAAACATCGCAAGCAAAGTCTGCGGGATCAGATTCGGAAACGGACTCGGACGAAGACAGCGAAGACGACTCTTCCGAGGACGAGCAGGGCACCGCAACCCAACGTGCCGAAGCCGCCCGAAAGGCTGCCGCTGCAGAACGAAGAAAGGAGGAGCATGAGAAAGCTCTCGCGGCGCGGTCAAAGGACAACCTGCGATCTCCAATTTGCTGTATTCTCGGTCACGTCGATACAGGTAAAACGAAGCTTCTCGACAAGATCCGACAAACCAACGTGCAAGAGGGCGAGGCAGGAGGTATCACGCAGCAGATTGGTGCGACATACTTCCCCGTCGAAGCACTAGAAAAGAAGGTCGCTGTGGTCAACAAGGACAAGGACTTTGTCTTCAACGTTCCTGGACTGCTTGTTATTGATACACCTGGTCACGAGTCTTTCACCAACCTCCGGTCTCGTGGTTCTTCGCTATGTAACATTGCTATTCTTGTCATTGACATCATGCACGGTCTCGAGCCACAGACTATCGAGTCGATGAAACTGCTCCGCGACCGCCGCACCCCCTTCATCGTCGCGCTCAACAAGATCGATCGTCTCTTTGGCTGGAAGAAGATTGACAACAATGGCTTCGTGGACAGCTTCAACCTCCAGAAACAGGCTGTGCAGGCCGAGTTCGAAGAGCGATGGACCTTTGTTCGCACGCAGCTGCAGGAGCAGGGTTTCAATTCGGAGCTCTTCTTCAGGAACAAGAACATGTCCAAGTACGTGTCGGTCTGCCCGACCTCCGCACATACTGGAGAGGGTATTCCAGACATGATCAAGCTCATTGTCAAGCTCACTCAGGAGCGTCTCACCAACAACCTCATGTACCTGTCCGAGGTTGAGTGCACAGTCCTCGAAGTCAAGGTCATTGAGGGTCTTGGAACGACGATTGATGTCATTCTGTCGAACGGTGTCTTGCACGAAGGCGACCGAATAGTGTTGTGTGGTAATCCGGAGCCCATAGTGACGAACATTCGAGCGCTGTTGACGCCAGCGGAGATGAAGGAACTTCGCGTCAAGTCGGTGTACGTGCACAACAAGGAGGTCAAGGCCGCCATGGGTATCAAGATCTCGGCCGATGGCCTTGATAACGCCATTGCCGGATCGCGTCTGCTGGTCGTTGGTCCTAATGACGACGAGGAAGACCTGATGGACGACGTCATGGGCGACCTCGCACATTTGCTCAGCAAGGTGTCCAAGAGCGGTCGTGGTGTCTCCGTCCAGGCATCGACACTTGGTTCGCTCGAAGCGTTGCTTGAGTTCCTACGCGTCTCCAAGATTCCCGTCTCCACCATCTCCATCGGTCCAGTCTTCCGCAAGGACGTCCTTCGCGCTGGTGTCATGTTGGAGAAGGCCAAGGAGTTTGCCGTCATGCTGTGCTTCGATGTCAAGGTCGACAAGGAGGCCAAGGCGTATGCCGACGAGATTGGCGTCAAGATCTTCGAGGCAGACATCATTTATCATCTCTTCGACAAGTTCACGGCGCACATGAAGCAGCTCGAGGAGCAGCGCAAGGAGGAGAGTAAGATGTTGGCTGTGTTCCCATGTGTTCTCAGGCCTGTCGCTGTCTTCAATAAGAAGGATCCGATCGTTCTTGGTGTCGACGTCATCGACGGCAATCTCAAGATTACCACGCCCATTTGCGCTGTGAAGAAGAATGCTGCGACAGGTGTGAAGGAAATCATCCAGCTTGGCAGAGTGTAAGTCGTGTCCTCCCTCATTCATTGCACTTGCTAATTGTATAACAGTACATCAATCGAGCGCGACCACAAGCAGATCCAGGTCTGCAAAAAGGGCCAGCCCTCCGTCGCCGTCAAAATCGAAGGCAACAACCAGCCCATGTACGGCCGCCATCTCGAGGAAGACGACACGCTGTACTCGGCCGTCAGCCGCAAGAGTATCGACACGCTCAAGGAGTTCTTCCGAAGCGACGTCAGCACGGACGAGTGGAAGCTGATTGTCGAGTTGAAGAAGTTGTTTGATATCGTTTGAGCGGTGGGAGGATGGAACAGGGTTGGAGAGGTAGATGGACTGGGATATGTGTATGATTTTCGTGTTCTTGGTTTTGGCTTCGGCTTCAGGCGTATTAGCATAGGCTGGCGCTGTGGGTGCTGTTTGCTTGTGTTTGTGGAAGAACAAAAGTAGCGTAGTCGTGTGTAGGTATGCATAACTCTGCTCTTTGTTTGTAAGTTGTGCGTTCTGTGTGCTATGATAAATGGCGTCGCGAGGATATGACAGGGTGCGATATAGAAAGCTATGCAAAGTCTTACGGGCCTCAACTGCTCATCCAGCGATACTTGTGATCGGATATCAATGTATGGATATCTTCAGTGAATTCTCAAGCCATGCATGTCCGATCCAACGACATGTGGAGCCGTCTCGAGCTGCAGTTCCTATCTAAATATGCGCATACAAAGTCCGCTTGCAACTTACATATGTTGACCTCGGGCGATTCCGTTGGCAGCACTTTTTACTGTTCACACTCTTGACCTTGCTTAAGGTCTAAGCTGACTATCGTCCCATTTCGTGCACCCATACCGATAAATCGTGCACTTCCTAATCGGACATGTTACCAATGTTTCTGCATTCATTACATCTGCCACTCCTCCCATCAGCGCACCAATCGCCCTGCTTATACGCTTACTTTACGACCTGATTACGACAAAGTGAAAGTGTCAGTTCAAATTGTGGACGGAACCAATGTGTGTCGTGCACAACCCAATGTCCACTTAAACTCACCTGTCACTTCTGGTCCGTGTGTGCTTGTACTCCGCGTTTTGATGTGGAAAATCAAAGCGTTCAGTTTGGTACTTGAATGGTGAATATGGCGACGTATTGAATCAACCACTTTGTGACTCGACTCACTTGAGGTTTGAGATGCACAGTATATTCAAGGGAAGCGAGTCGGATGTGAAATTGTCGTGGAATGAACTGACTTCCGTAATGATACAGCTGAAGCCGTGTCTCAAGTCAGTGTGAAAATACTGTTTGGACATCGACACCTTCATAGCAGCTTTCGAGGTTCTGAACATTGGAGAAAGGATGTGGATAAGCTATCCTGTTTGTCTTCAAATTGGACGAGGTGAATTGTTCTATGAGCAAAAGTGGGTTGAAGATATACAGGCTATGTCATTTGTATGCCAATGCCCAAAGCATGGGGGTCAGAGCATGACAGGACTGCTTTTATTCAGCTTCTTTGGTAGCGGTAGGGGGTGTCAGAGCATTGTGAGCAGGACCCCCGCGTTGCCTCATAATGCACAAACGACATGTAAGACTCCCGGTGAGTGGTTATCTACATGCAATGCGCTTAAGTCAAGGAACACGTGGATGTTCTGAAAGCTTCCTCACGCGTAGTGTTGTGTTTCTAGTGTAGACTTGGGTCAAGCTCCGAAGAGTGTTACTTATTGTATGCTCGAGGATTGTGATGAGGTATAAGGTCTTGCGCGACATATTTGTTAGCACGCACGCATTGATATCGTCGAGCTGGTGTAGTCATTCTTACCTCTTGGTCGTCTTGGTCATCTTGGTCGAGTCGTTCACCAGCGTCGTAAGCGGAGCTGTTCGATGATTTCACTAGCCGTTGGCGAGGCAAACTTTCTCCTTCTTGAACTACCGAACATCTCTTCAATTGATTGCGCCGGGTTTCTCTCGTGTTGTGACCATCCTCATCAGCTCGAACACATGCGCGTGATGTTTGGTTACGAATCGCGCTTGTTGTTGAAGCTTCTCAACTGGTATTCTAGATCTGCTCTCCCCTATATTGCAATTTTTCTAGGCGTGCACAGTGAGCAGTAACAATTTATCAAGGTAGTCCTAGTTCTTCTTTTGGTGTTCACTCGGTCAAAGGGAGGTAACGATTTTCTAAGCGCACGGCAGACTTCGAGTGGTGTAGGACACAGCAATTCAAGACCTTTGCGTATTAATTGTATGAATACCGTCGCTGTGGATCGATCTTAGACGCAATCAGAATATCGAGTGCACATCGTCTCGAATTAGACCGTGCTAGACTTTGGTGTTGTATGCCTCAGACCACTAGAAGTGACACTGCCGACGACCTGCCTACTTGACACGATAACCATCTTCAAATCATCATCAATCTTGAAGGCTTACCTGTAATTCTTATCAATAGAGAAAAGCGACCGTGCACAAAGCGCTAGCTTGAGGTTGTTGTGGCCTGGCGTATATGTTGAAGCACACCCATCCTCTTGCTCCGATCCCATGGTCTGAATACCTACAACGTCCATTCTTATTATTTTCAGATTTGACAAAAAGTATGTGAGACTATGCAGGCGTGTGTCATGGAGGGTTGTGGCGGGAGGAAACGTTTTCGGCCCAAAAGCTACATCGCATACCTCACAGCCTACCGGTATTCCCACAACCAAAAAGATGGCTACTCTTGTCCTTGAAAGCATCATCGTCGTCAATGAGAAGGTTTTCAAGCCTTGCGGTCGCTGGTGGGGCCAAAGGTGCCCAAAAAGAAGCAAAAATCATGTTGACACGAGTGGGGTTCGAACTGATAACTGTTAACATACGTACAACGCAAACGAGAAAGGCTTTCAATTTACCCCACGCAGGTTGCCCTAGTAGAGATCTAAGCAATGCTTAAATCTACCGCCTTAGACCACTCGGCCATCGTGTCAGGACAATTATCAAGTTTCAAAAATTAGCTAAACTATGTTCTTGCACAATGGAAGCCTACCCACCATCCCAACCACTTCCCACAAAATCGAATGGGAAATTCAGCTCGGAAGAGCATGTGTGGCCTAGCATTACTGTGCGGGGTACAATGTGGTGCAAAGTCGGACAAATGGAGTCATCCACCCGCATATTTTCCGACCCCACCAAACCAAGTCCAGCGAACCTTCGTTTGCTCGAATTCACTTACGACCCCCACAAGCTTAACAAAAAAAACCAGGGGTTGATTAGACTCACTGCATTACAAGATACTGGCCAGAAGCATCATATTGCGCTGAAGAGAGATGCGCTCTCAGATCCTTCGAGATTTTACTTCGCCACCATGCCGCCGTAGAACGAGGCTGTTTTTCAAGCGATCAATTTGCCTCACCCCGAAAGAAAAATGGAGCCTTGGCTAGCCAGAGCTTGCCCTGAGCTCGGAGTGCTGCCCGTAATGGGAATGCCGATGCAGGAATAGCCTCCATTCGAGCCGCTCACTACGCCTCGCGCTATTGCAATATTCACGGAAATTGCACCAAGACCGCGGACTTATATTCATACTTCTAAAAAGCAAGAGCGGGTACAGTACCGTTGAGCTTTACCCCTGCCTCATGGAGATATTGACTACTTCAAGCATCGATCCTCTGTATCGCAATTTGCCGCTTGTGTAGCGAAGTTTGCATGCCTCTATCCCAACTTTCATTCCTCGATCATCACGGAGCCTATCATAGACTTTACCAAAGCCCGGGGAAGTGGTTGCAGACCACCCCGGCGGCCTCGGACGCACGTTTTGCCTGTTTCTCATTCCTTCTAGTTTGGTGATATCCATCGTAGGTTCAATACTTCTGCTTGTTACATGTTCAATTTTTCCTACATCGTCATGTATTCATTACGAATGCCTTGCTGGATCTTGCTCTCTTTGCTCGCCTCGCGCGGATTCGCTGACCTCGGCACCTCCATTAAGGCATGCCAATCCTTATTCTCAACCCTTCCAGGGCACGTCTCGTTTGCCCGCGATCAGGGCTATGAGGACTCCATTTCATCGTATGCATATATTGGAACTCGCCTACGGCCGACTTGTGTGGTGACCCCGCAATCGACGGAAGATGTCGCTGTTGTCATCAGAGTTCTAAACAGTTTCAATTCTGTTGCTTTTGCTATCCGAAGTGGCGGTCACAACACTAACAAAGGTATGATTAGCTGAAATTAGACGGCTCGTGCCGCTCTCATAAATCGGCAGGATTCGCCGATATCAAAGATGGAGTCACGATTGACCTAAGTGCGATGAACAAAATACTCCTCAATCGTGCCGATAATACCGTTTCAGTCGGGCCTGGTGCGAGGTGGCAGAGCGTCTATGATGCTCTTGATCCATACAGTATTTCTGTTCAAGGCGGCAGGAATGGTCACGTTGGAGTTGGCGGTTTCTTGCTGGGAGGTACCATATTCCACGCTCGCTCGAATATATAGCACGTCACTGATCGATATTCCTTAGGAGGCATTGGTTTTTTCTCTCCGGAGCGAGGCTGGGCTTGTGATGGCGTGGTCAATTTTGAACTTGTCCTCTCTTCCGGAATCATCGTCAACGCGAACGCGACCTCCAATACCGATCTCTTCATCGCGCTTAAAGGCGGACTTAACAACTTCGGCATCGTTACTCGCTTCGATTTGGAGACATACAAACAGGGTCCAATGTGGGGCGGTGTAATTATCTATCCAAACTCCACCGATGAAGAGCTTCTTGATACGCTGAGTGCTTTCAAAGACCCAGAAAGATTCGATCCATATGCTATGCTTACATTTGGCTGGATATATGACACGAAAACACAGGTATTCTCATCTAATATCGCCATGTACCACTCCCACCCAGAAAGTGTAAATGGCAGTATTTCAGAGTCGTTCGCCAACGTACAACCTCAAATGTTCAATTCAATACGTACTGGTTCTCCAGGGTCTTTTGCCGGGGAAATATTGTCACCCATAATCAAAGAGTACTAGTAAGTCGAAGTTCTTCACCATTTTGCAGCACTACCTGTTACTTGCAATATTGTTAGCACACATTGACTAATTCGCGACGTAGCATGCATTGGGCAACTACAACATTTTACGCATCCAGGACCACACTTTCCAATATGCATGCTTCATTTAGGCGCAATGCTATCGCTCTCACGGAGCTGTACGCCTCCGCAAATCTCACGATAGCTTGCTCTATCCAGTCTGTACCTGCAGCTGCTCCGGCCTCCAACCCCAACAGCTTGGGGTTCCAACCTTCTTCACAACCCGAGAAAACGCTTCTTAATATGGGAATCGCTTTCCAATTTGAAGAATCAGCCGCCACTGACGGTCTTGCAGCAGCCACGGAGCAATTTGCCAAGGAGATCGATCAGATTGCTGCGCAAGACAAAGTCAGAGATGAGCATTTATACTTAAACTATGCGGGCGGCTGGCAAGATGTGTTTGGGGGCTATGGTGCAGAAAGTGTAGAGAATATGAGACGTGTATCAAGGAAGTATGATAGTAGTGGGATGTTTCAAAACCAAGTGAAAGGTGGATTCAAGTTGTACAGATGACATAAGTAGGTACTATCTTCTGTCATATATGTTGTTACAAAATAGCTTACATTATTATTCCATAGCATGGCTCAGAATTTTTATAAGCTGATGCACTGCGAAACAAAGTTGGTAAATTTCCAACGATCGTAGACGCCTTCTATGTGCCTTCGAACTTTTTCCTTGCGCAGACGAGAACGCGAATGGTGGTAAAAGACGCGGAGCATTCCCCGCATTACGCGTGTTGGGAAGGACATCCTGCGCTGTGAGGCTATTTGTAGAACGCAGACTCTAATTTCAACAGTCTGAATGAAGCTGGCGATCGGCCCCTGCAGTCGGCTTGCTGGAATGCGGATACTGCCATTGTCGAGGTTCTTCTGAAGGCAGGTGTACAATTGCATTACACGAACGACGATAGAGGGCTACCATTCAAATACCGCTCATGATTTTGGACTTCAGGCCATTGTTGAATTGTTGTGTTGTGTTGCAGATGATGATCAACAGTAACAGCCCAGCGAAAAGGTCTGATCTCGCTTCCCTGCTCGAAAGGTCGTACTAACGGCGGTCAACATCCAGCCAAAATCTAAATATCTCGTGTAATGTAGGAATGCCAAATTGCGCATGCGTCGCACGTCTATATGTCAACTGCTACTCCACGGGTCCTTATGAATAATTTGCAGCTATTTAGCTGTACATCAACATGAGTAATCACCACAGTCTAAAAGAACTGGAGGAGGAGCCATGGATCAGGTTGCGGCCCGATTCTGTTCGTTTCGTCTCGACGCCATCTAGCCCGATCGCATCTAAGACAACCGAAAACAATTTTCACCATCCGCTCCTTGTTCCGACACAGAGTCTAGTAGTCGAACCATTTTGTGTATGCCAAGCTCTAGAACGTCTTGGCATAGTGGTAAGCACGTAGTCTACCAGATACAATTGCTCCAGCAGCACAGCATCAATACAGATATGCGTGCATATAACATTGCGCGCTACGCTGTATTGTACTTCACCACAAGCACATGCACATAAATATCCTTGTTATCAGGCTGTTCTCACATTTCTCGTTATGGTTGGATTTATGGCATAGTAACCTGAGCAAAATCGGTTTTGTTACTAAGAAATCGGCTGGCGGTCGGTCGTATTCGACTCGCGTTTAGCATTAGTGGCGGAAATCTCTGCTCAGCCCAGAGACGCACGTCGGCTAATCTAATCAGATCAGTTTAAAGCCAGTGATCGCCCTTACATTTTGATCAGATAAGTTTACACTTTATCTGATCGTCCACTCAAGCCTTCATTGTGTGGAGAATACTACCATGGATCTGTTCCTAAGTGAGTCTTCTCTCTTTGGTATTTCAAGCTAAATACTGATTGGTGGACCAAGGGAGATCCAAAAGCAAAGATGCTACCAAAGCGGCGGAAAGAAAGCTGGTGATGAAGTTGGGTATGTGCGCTGTCAACCACTAAAGTTTCTGATGTTGACGCAATTAGACTTCTTCATCATGGTTCGTTAAGCGCTGACAAGACTTCGTTGTTGGTTCTCACTTATGTAGGCTTATTGCTGTGCTTGCTACTTCTTCAACTACCTAGGTCAGTACTGATGGCCCTTCATGCCATCCACAGCGCTGATAGCAGGCTAGATCGTCAAGCATTCCCCAACGCATATGTATGCACTGTCGTCACCTGACTAGCTTGGAAGCATACTGACTGGCCGCCTCAAGGTAGCTGGCTTGAAAGAAGATCTTAACCTCAATCGAAATGAGTATAGTATACTGCTGTCTATGTTTACGGCTGGGTAGGTCTTATATGTCACGGATCCAGGTCCATGTGGCTAATCTATGCGCAGCAATGTTGCAGGCCAGATCCCTCACGGCCTGATCATTCAGAAGGTTAGACTCAGCATTTGGCTGCCATTGACCTTGATCCTGTGGTCCGGTTTGACCATGTGTTCCGCTGCGTGCAAGACGTATCAGCAACTGTGCGCTGTCCGATTCTTTCAAGGCTTGATGGAGGCAAGTCTTTACAGTGGAACAATTTATGTTCTCGGATCGTGGTAGTAAGTCTCCTTCAAGGTTGCCCAGAGCTAAGCTGGCCAGAGGAATCCCTCTTAACGTGTTTCGCAGTAAGCCTACAGAGATTGCGAAAAGAACCGCGATATTTACTGCTATCGGCCAGATGGGCAGTATGTTTGCTGGCATCATGATGACGGCGATGTATAAAACAATGGAGGGTAAGAGTGGTTTGAGAGGCTGGCAATGGGTCTTCATTATCGGTAAATCAGCTCAACTTCAGTGTCCAGTCAAGTTGCTAATCATTGCTGTGAAGATGGTCTAATGGGCATACCGATTGGCCTCTTCGGATTTGTAAGTTTGAGCGACAGCCATTTGCAAGCTCAGCTAACACAAACCTAGTTTACATT